GGATAGGGGGCAAAACTGTCTCCAGTTGAGAACCACTCACTGCTTTAATGTAAGGCTTTCTAAGGACTTTTAGAAATCATGCTAGGATTCTTAACATCCCAGGAATAGTGGCCAGAATATTAAACAGTAAATACCTTCCGTTTATATAGTACTTTACAATTTTAAATTCATTTTCACATAATTTTCACATGCACAGGTCAAATGTAAAAGAAATTAAGTGGCAATCTCCATGTAAACTATTAGGTGGGGCTATACAATATGTTGCTTCTTTTATCTTCCCATTTTTGTTTTGTTTTCTTGAGAAACTGTGTTTGTGAGGATTGCTGATACATTACCTGCAGACATACCATCATAGCTTTCTTTTTAAATTTAGTCATCATCATTATTAATATATTTACTATCTCCATGGGCTAGGGAGCTATGAGGTCAAAGGTCCCTGCCCACAAAGAGCTGAAATTGTAATCAGGGAGAAGGATAACTACATAAAAGATTATTAAGCTATATAAGAACCCTCGCTAAAGCCAATGAGTAATCTATACAGATATGCTATAAGAATTCATCACAGGTAAATACTCAATCACTGGTCAGTCATTGAAGAAAGACATCACAGAGAAGTGTAATTTGAAATTGAAAAACAAAAAGCATGCAAGCAAGCTGAGCTTTGAAAAAAATGTACTTAAGTAGATGTGGGCTTGATGAGAAGCAGGGGTGAGAGAGTATGTTCAGGGCCAAGAGAATGGTGTGAACATAGCAGAAAACTGCATAAGAGTAGCTCCATCGCAGGAATGGAAGGTTCAGGATGAATGTCATGGAAAAGAACAATTAAAGAGATAGTTATGAGCAATCTGGGCTTTGAATTTGAGGTTCAAGAAATTAGACTCCATCCTGTAGATATTAGGAGCAGTTATGTTTGGCAAGGGGGGAAGAGGAATGTGCAAGACATGTATTTTCAGGAAGAGTCTGTGTCCGTAAATGGGAGAGGGGAGGGATCAGTAGATAGCATGGAGGAAAGTGACTGTCAAAGTTAGGATAGTGGAGTTGAAAGGAATGAGAGGAAGGAAAGGGACATTATGAAAGAATGTTGATAGGACTTGGTGACTGATTAGATATGAGGTAGCTTTAAAGCGATATCCGGCCAGAGTCCAAGCAGAGTGATGAGGAGAATGAATGTTCTCTTTAACAGAAATAGAAAAGTTGATGTGTGAGGTCAGGTGATGTGTTCAGTTAGGCATGTGGAGTTTGAGGTAATGGCAGACATGCACGTGGAGAAGTCCAGAGAGCAGCTGTAGTCTAGAAAGAAATTTTGTGGAAATTTTTCTGAGCAGGAAAGAACCTGAGAGATCATCTCCCTCCAGCCTGCTCATTTTACAGATGAAGAAACATGTGGCATGTTAAGGGACGTGATCATTACCAAGTCGTATTTATGAGAGAGATCCTATTTCGTAATGCAAAGGAATTCTAGTTTTATTATATGGAAAAGCCTAGGGGAAAAATCTGAAAGATGTCCTGTGGGATGAACATGACACAACAGGCTTGAAACCTTAAAAAGGAGAGAATTTAGAATGTGTGGAGGAAAGCGTGGAGGGCCAAAGAGCCATCCTACACTAAGGGCGGGAGGAGGAAGGTAGCTGGAAAAGGAGGCCAAGAAGCAGCACTTAGGAGGATGGGGTGAGGAGCAAGTCGGTGGAGGTCACTAAAAGTGCTCCATGCTCTGGAAGGAGTTGAAGACAAGGAAAAGGCCCTCTTGTCTTGATTAGGAAGTAGTAGCAAATCATAGTCACAATAACTTACAAGAACCAGGCCAGGCACTGCCGTATGTGCTGCACATGGGCCCAACTGTGGAATCGTTGTAACGATCATATGAGGTGGTTATTACTTTATCTCTATTTTATGGAAGAGGAAACTGAGGTGAAGAGGAGGTAACCTACTTGCTCAGGGTCACACAGCTCCTAAATGGTAGAGCCAGAATCTGGCAGTTGGGCATGGTTTTAGGGGAGTGATGAGGACAGGAGCAAGTTGTTCAGACTTGGCAATAAGGAGAGGAGGGGCAAATAGTAGTTCAGGGTTCTAGACAAAGTTACTTTCCAGACACAGAGCTGAGAGCAACTGACAGAAGTTGGGGAAGCCAGCAGAGAGGAAATAGGACTCTGATAACAGGGTCCTAGCAGAGCTGGGACCACTAGCGTTAGTTAAGCTGTGAGTCTTGAGTAAGAAGAGAGAAAACACCTATTCTTGTGAGATTGCCTACCAGCTCTCAGCCTGTTCACTATCAAAGGCCATTTTCATTATTCCCCACCTTTCAAGGACCCCAGGTTTTCAAAGATTTTGAGTATCAATTTTATTATAATTAAGTATAATTTATATGCAATGCAACATTCAGATCTTAACAATACCGTTTAATGAGTTTTGACTACAACTTTATTAATTCACTTTCCATTATTATTATTCGAATATACGTAAAACTGCCAAGTAGAATCTAGGATTATCACATCAATCTAGCCAAAAGCAAGGAGACCTGAGATTTTAGTTAGCCTATTTAGTCTGTTTGAGGCTTTTAGAAATATAAAAAAAGCAGCTCCTAGATCCATATTATTACTATCTAAGAAGAGCCCAGTAATCCAAAGACCCCAAATAGGTAAACAGGCTCAGTCAGTTATTGGAAGAGATGGTACAAAGAATAGGACTATACTTAGCCTTAAGCTTAATTTTTTTTCAAAACCAATGACCTGGCTATCATGACTGATTCTCAGGAGTTGAGCTAGGAGAGGTGTGATTTTATTAGTTTTTCAGAATAAAAACTCACAGTGATTCATAATAATTTTAAATTAAGTGAAAGTGACTGGATATTTAGTGGTATTAAAGAATTCTTGTGATTTTTTTACGTTTGGTAGTGATACAGTAGTATTGTTTGAAAAAAAGAGTTCTTATCTTTTAGAGATCTATGCTGAAATATTTACAGATGATTCGTCTGGGATCTGTTTTAAAATAATTCTATGTGATGGGGGGAGAGGGCGGTAAAACCGCAACAAAACTGGCTTGAATTGATAATTGTTGAAGTTGATACATGGGGTTTATTTTTCTAGTCTGTCCACTTTTATATTTGTTTTAAAGTTCCCATAATAAAAAAGTTAAGAGAAATAAAAAATAAAGAATATTAATCAGGGTTTAGTATAACAGAAATCTTTCTATGTATGTTAAGCAAAAGGGATTAATACAGGGAATTAAGTGCTCATAAAAACATTAGAAGAATTGACATAGCAGGCTCCAGGCTCAGCCTCTAGGAATAATTACCAAATTATCACCATTCAACTTTCCTGCTAAGGAAAACTGCTACTTGTGCCTCCATCAGGAAGTTGGCAAACCAGGAAGCTCGTTTCTCATTGTCTTAACTACATGCCAAATCTGATTATCAGGAATCCATAGCCACAATTGTTGGCTCCAGTGCTATCTGCTACACCTACTAGAATAGTACAAGCAAAATGGATGCCTTTCTCCCACCACCTTGCTCTCTGATTGGTGGAATCTAAATCATATCTAGGACTCTAGCTACAAAGGAATATGGGACATGTAGTTTTCAACTTTCCATCCTCTAGAAAGAAGTGAGGACAAATATTAAGTGGGCCAATCTACCACAAAGTATATTAGCAATCAAAATTGTATTTTTGCTTATTCATCCCAAAAAGTAATTTTGAACAATGTTTAAGTTACAATATAGTCTTTGGTTTGGTTTTTCCACTATGATCTTTTAATTAGTTTTTACTATACCTATAAAACCCCCTATTACTCAAGAACACGTACAGTACCTTGCTCTCTTTACTGCAGGCAAACTCATCTGATTGGTCATATAAGGCTGTTCTGTGCACATTTGACCTCCATGTCTTTGCCTGTGCTGTTCCCAGTACAAGTGGTACCTTCCGTATCCCCCAGTCTAAATCCTACCTGTTTTTAGACATCGTTCAAGTCCTACCTCTTTGTAAAACCTTACCTGATTTCTCGAGGCCCCATTTACTTTCCTTTCCTCCCTCCCTCCTTCCTTCCTATAGATACATATGTATGTATGTCTGCTCTGAAACCTTTCTGGACGTGTTCTTTATTCTGCCACATAGTTTGGTCTATCATGCAAATGTTTTATGGTATACTGTCACTTTATATGGAATGGACTTGCTTGCTTAAATAGGCTCTAAGCAATGTAAGGCCAGACGAATTTGTCTGTATATCTTCTCCTTTGATACTTAACACCATGAAGAGCAGAGGAAAAATTTATGTATTTTATGTTGGTACTGTTAGTAAAGTGTACCAATAAGCCCACAAAGATGATAATGTTTGTTTAAGAGTACTTCACATTTGTGGTAAAGGGTCAGAAATGTTCTGTGCCAATTTGTAATACAAACATTGAGAGATAGTAATTATGTTTGTAATACAAACATTGAGAGATAGTAAATACAAACATTGTGAACATCAAGATCTTCACATAATGGTCTACAGCCATGCCACCCTGAACGTGCCCAATCTTGTCTGATCTTGGAAGCTAAGCAGGGTCAGGCCTGGTTAGTACTTGGATAGGAGACCACCTAGGAATACCAGGTGCTGCAGGCAATTAAAAAAAAAAACTTCACATAATGACTCCATTCAGCTTTTTAATTAATTATATAGTCCACAAGTGCTTCAGTCTTTCAGTGAAACGATAATTCTTGAACTCGACCTGCACCTCCTGCCTCTTTGCCATTGACCATGTTCTCTTTCACTAACAAGTCTCAGTTCAGGCCCCATCTCTGCCTGTCAATCTCCTGTCCACCAAGCAGTGTGGCTGTCAGTAGTAACAGGTTGGATATCAATTTATGGCACAGTCAAGCAGTTAAGCAATCATTAGAAGTAATGTGTAGACTCGTGTTTGCTGACATAACTCAGGATAGGGGACCATATCTTAAGTGAAAGAATGTTTTAAAACTTTATGGTATGATTTCCGTTTTTATAAACGTATACATATTTTCATTTAACAGATATTTACTGAGTGCCTACTGTGTACCAGGCGCTATATCTATATGCATAGAAAAACCCTGGAAGGTCATACTCCAATACATATGCAGTGATTGTCTTTGCTTGCTGAGATAACAGGTGACTTTTTTTTTTTTACTTGTCTCCTCCTTCATTTACAAACTTGTATTTTCTACAAAATCCTATATTATTTATTAATAAGAAACTAATGTGTTTTTTAAAAACATTTCTTAAAAATGCTTACAATGTAATGCTGCATGAGAAAAAGTAGGTTAAAAACAGTCTAAAATCCCAATGTGAAATAAAGGGCGCGGGTAGGAGAGGAAGCTAGAGAGGGATAAAAAAGGAAAAGAAAAGAGAAAAAGAAGATAAGAAGAAGAGAGGAAATACATCAAAATTTGACAGTGGTCTATTTTTGGGTAGTGGGATTTCTTTTGCAATGCCTGTTCTAAAGATTCTACGGTGAGCATATATTAGTTTTAGAATAAAAAATTTTTTTTTCTTTTTTCAAGAGCCAGTCCAAATGTGACTTTTCTATGAATTTGCCTCAGATCCCTGCATCTGACCTTTTTCAAACTTTTTAAATCCCTTCGTCGCCTAGCACTCAATAAATATATGATAAATTGAATGGATAGTATTTTCTAAGTGTGGCCTCAATCTTAGTGACACCTGTTAATTTTCCCCATTTACCAGTTTTTATTTTCAAGAATAAGTTAAATTTCAGATGTTATTTCACAACAATAAAAATTTATTCTTTAAAAAAAAGAGAGAGAGGAGATTAAGGACACAACACACAGACAGTGGAAAGACCATGTGAGGACACAACAAGAAGGCAGCTATCTGCAGAGAGGGAGGCCTCAGAAGGAGGCTTGGACTTGCTCTTGGACTTCTAGCTTCTAGAACTGTGGAAAAATTAATTTCTCTTTAAGCCAAAGGAAAAAAATATTGTATGTGATTAACTTAGTCCTGGTATTTGCCCAATACTGACATAATTTTAGTGGCCAAGACTTCCTGTATTATTTTTATTCTTTTCCATTTTTGTCCACTTTTTAAAAAATGGCTACTTTTATGTATATATGTTTACATTTATATATGCAGATATATGCTATTTATTTGTTTATATATATATATATATACATATATGTACACACACATACATATATATTGATGTGAAAGTTTAAATTCAAACAGTGGACTCCAGAGCTATTGTTAGTCAACCTTTTCTCTCCTCAGAACGCTTTTGTCTAGTGCCCTATTTCCTACCAGTTTATAGAGAGGAAAGACTCTTTAACCCATATTGGAAACACCATCTACTAAATTAGCTTTCTACCAGCACTGGAGTATCAATTCAGTAGCCTCTGAGGGAGCCATACAGGAGAGAGCCAGTGTGGCAAGATGCTTAGAAATTACCCAGCCTACTCCATCTGAGCAGGTTTCATCAAATGGGGTCAAAGAGTGAGGGTGGGGTTCAACCTTTTTAACGCATTTCAACTTTTGCAAATAAAAGACAGGCTGTACACACCTCTGCTGTATGAAGGTACTAAAAGCAATTAGAAATGGCCCTGTCTCTAGTACTAACGTCCTGGCTACATGAAGCAGCCACAAGCTGCCAGGCTGGCTTTATACCAGGAGTTCGCGGAGCTCACATCTCCCTGTCCTGGCTTCCTGCTTTCCAGAAGAGGCCCTGCCCTGCAGCTCCTGGAACCTGAGGTAGTAGAGAGTATTTATGTTGTGGAAATCGTAAAGGATCCTTTAACCAGGGAAGTTTCGTTCTAGGCAGGGGACTTTATGAATAAACAAAAATAGTGTGTGGCCTATCTGTGGGGAGAAGAAAATTCTGGAAAATGTACATTATAGGGTACTTTCTTTGGGTCCTGAAAATATCAATTAGCAAAATACTTCTTAGGATATACTAGGATACTTAGATGGACATATTGATGTTTTGACTCTTAACTAGATTACAGTCATCTCATAGAATTCAGTATCAGGTAAAATATCTAAATGTCATCCAATTACTAATGGAGGTAAAAAGAAAAAAAAATCTCATTGACATTCTGCTTCATTCCATGGTCCCCATCACCTCACTGAGATTCTATCAGTGAAGCTCCTGCACATATAGAGGCCTGGCTTTTGAAATTGCCTTTCTCTCTCTTGCTACCTGCTTTTAGATTTGGGATGTTGTGTGTCTGAAAACTCTTCTTCTTTTTTTCATACTATTGACCCCTTAGAAACTTAAATAGCAGTCATTCACATGGGGGAAAATGTGAACTCTGCAAATCTTTTGTTTCTGATGAGGAAATATAGTTTCAGGTGGATTAACCTAAATCTCCTTGAGTATGAATTTTTAATTCCCTAATTCCCTGACATAGAGTAATTTCATTGAAGAGATTGATTTAATCTCTTGCAGTTGATGGATAAACTATTCACTAAATTTCAAAACACAGATTTGTTCCCTGCTACTTGACCTCTGGGTTGGGTAGTTGATCCCTCATGATGCCATTTATTGAGGATTTGCATTTTTATTAAACTGGGATTGCTAAGTCAGAGGTGCTTTTGTGGCTCTGCAGTGTGTACCCAGCTATATGTGTGTGCCCTGTGGTCTGAAGTATTAAAATAATGGAATCGCTTTCATATCTGTATTGCCTGCAACTGACATGGTATTCCTATAAATGTGAGCATAAAGATTATGGGACATGACTCATTTTATAGTTAAAAATGGAGGGAGATTTGCGAAAGGCATAAAATTTAGAGCCGCTATAACTTGATGTACAAAGGTTGCTTTTAATATATTGAGTAGCAAAATGTGAAAGTTGCATTATCAGTAAATTAACTATTTGTTTACTTCTAAGTTTTTTTTTTATTTTTGTATTCAGTTGATATTTATTAAGTACCTACTGTATCCCAGACATTGCATTAGGAGTGTAGGATATGACAGTGAATAAAACAAAGTCCCTGCCCTAATGGAACTTACATTCTAATGAGGGGAAAGGATACAGACAATAAAAAATAAATAAGTAAATATAAAGTATGTCATAGTGATAAGTGCTATTGGAGAAAATAATGCTGGATAATGGGGATAGAGAGTGTGGAGAAATTGCTATTTTTATGTATTATACTTTTATGTAATCTTTCTAAAGTTAGCTTTACCTTTGTCAATAAATACTATTTTAAAACATTATTTTTTTGTTTTCATATACATTCTCTTATATGGATGTATACACCCTACCTACATAACTATTCTCTTCTTGTTGGGCATTTATAATAGTTTCTTTTTAATCAGTGGTGATATTCATATGTTTAACTGTTTTCCATTCTATTGTATTTTAGGGGTGTCAAGCTTATATTTTTGCTGCTATCTACTTGTAAATACATTCAGAACAGGAGAATTTGGATAAATTTTTTGACTACAGGTACTTTCTAAACATGATGCATTTCAAAAGTGGACTCGAATTAACTGAGTTGCAAAACATGACAGTGCCTGAAGATGATAACGTCAGCAATGATTCCAATGATTTCACTGAAGTAGAAAATGGTCAAATAAATAGGTGAGTATTTTTCCACTAACACTTTCTATCCAATAAAAGAAATGTCTCTAAAATATTATTCTGATCTTCAGTTATTCTCTTGAATTATTCATGACTAAAGTTATGCTCCATTTGAAGGTGTAATTTGAATTTCTTATGTGACATCTGTTGGGCATAGGCTGCAATAGCAGATGAAGCAAATAGGAAAGTAATTTATTCATCCTTTCAAATCTTTCAATTGAGTCTAGTAAAAATGTATAAAGACATTGGACCCCACCCAGCCCTAACTTTTGAAAAGCTGTGTGTTTTGGGGTTACACAGACTATCGGAATTTTATTCCATCCCATATCTAAATGTGTACTACAGTCATTTGACCTGGCCCACATTTTAATCAAGAAATGGTCAAAGTTGCATTTACCAATATTCCAATGTTAAAACTACAAATACATCATGACAAGCATTATTTGTAAAATGGATTTTAAATAATAGTAACAGTAGTTGAGCCCAAATGGCTCTATGAGAAACTATAGTAGAGAAATAGTACATGAAACAGAAAGAAAATTAAAGATACTACGAGTGTGAGGAGATAGAGGCAGATGGGAAAGAATGCCGGCCTAGGAGGCTCTTGGCCTCAGCATGTCCCTTCCAACTCTTGGGTTCTGTTTCTTAAGTTTCCAGAGTAGGGACAAATGTCTTTATTATTATTTTTTAAAATGATTTGGGGCATTCTCTGGCCTACTGATTTATAGCCAGCTTGTGTGGATTCCTTAGCAGGATGCTCTCTAGCTTGGGAGTTAGTGGTACAGGTTGTTTGAAGCATGAGGCCTTCTAAGAGGCTAGGAGTAGAGCGTGGAGTACATAGGACTACTTAATAGAACACCAGTGATGCTACACTTTTTCATGTGGGGTGTCAAAAGAAAACTGGTGTGGAGGAAGATGAAAACATTATGTCACCTAAGCAAGCATCTTCGTAGAAAGCATTTCTGATAGTCCTGTCTACATCATGATATATAGTGTATACATAATTGACAGTTCAACAGAGGACTTTGCTTCCATCATTTACATATACTCAGAAGTTTCAGCCCTGTCTCTCCTCTTTTTCTCTTCCTTAAATGTTTTTAGAGGTTAAGTCTCCAACCCAGACACTTCCTTGTTGTCATCCAAGTATCATTTACTGTGTTGTGATGTTTCTTATCGTTGGACTCAAGTTTACTGCTGACACATTTTCTGAGTAATTGTTAATAATAACAACCATTTTTTTGACTGCCAGCTGTTTTTACATATATTGCCATTTATCCTAATAGTATCGTGAAAAGTATTCTTTTGCAAATAAGGAAAAGTTTTAAATTTAGTTTATAAATAAGGAAACTCAGAGAAATAAAGCTGAAGCTCAGAGAAGTAAAATAACTTGCCCACGGGTATACGCAGGTCTGTCCAAAATCCTTGTCTTTCTACTCTATCCTGCTGCCTCTGATTATAATGCTCAGGCATTAGTGAAAAAAGACAGTCCTTTACTAGTTTTGTTAAGCTCTACCAGTGCTAATTTATGCTCTGAACTCCTGGAGTGTTCTGAAGTCACTGCTGACTTCCACTTAACAGTGCATAAGATTCCAACCATTTCATAAGTAGGACACTTTGGTTTTATAATGAAGCTTCATTCCCAAAGCAATGCAGACCTTGAGGACCTTAAAATAAGACTCATTTATAGTATCCAGTTTAGAATCTGAACTTGATCTTAAAAAGTCTTACTTACTAAAAATATCAAGTTTTTGAGGAGATTACTACTTGCAGTAGGTTGAAGCACCCATTCTAGCCCCCGACTCGGGCAGTTGGGCACCTTGCCCAGTGAGCTCATTTCCCCCTAGACTATGACTAAGGCAATGAGGTGGTACAGCGGGATTGCTGTTGGGTGTTGACCACTTGTTTTGCGGAATTTGGTTCCACAGTTGCAAATGCAATGTGATGCATTTATTTCTTAGTTTATTTTAGCCCCCGCCTCTTTCACTGACTCAGTTAATGAATTTTGCTTCATTTATGGCTCTGGGACAATTAAAATGAAAAACAACATATTATGGCATGAAGCAAAAAAGGTAAATAAAAATCAAAAAAAGACCCCTACCATGATTCCTGCAAAAGCTACACCTAAATACTTCTCGTTTTTTTTGCAGCTTTTTCACTTTGGTGAGAGGAAGGTAGGACCAATTTCACACATCTAAGAAAACCATCTCCCAAAACAGTGAAATTCTACATCATGGTGTCTCTTTCTAGAAAGCTAGAGAAAATGTTAAAAACAAATGTTGATCTCTGATTACCTGGCATCTAGTTGATAGCTTTGCCTGGAAACTCCCTGCTAGGATACAATAAGAATCATTTTTTAAGATTAGTTAAAAATAGAGTAGAGCCATTTGGACATTATAACACCTGCTCTCATTCCAGTTCAACTGTTTTATTTCATGCCCTAATTTTTGGATTATAGTCATAGAAATGTATACCTGGAACAGCAAAACCTTTCGAAATGTCCACTAGACCAGTACTGCTGACATTTTAATATGAATGTGAAACATCTGAAAACCTTTTTAAATTGCAGATTCTGATTAGTAGGTCTGGGATGGGGCCTGAGGTTCTAGTTTCTAGCAAGTACCCAGATAATGCCCATACTGTTGGTCCACGGACAACACTTTGATTAGCAAGCTCTAGACTCTTCCTCTAGATGTAAGCTTCTTGAGAGAAAGAACCACCTTAATCATCTTTATATCTCGTATACCTCGAAATGATAGGATAATAATGCCTGGTCCAGGATGGACATTACAAAGTATTTGTTAAATCAGAGAGAGAGAGAGAGAGAGAGAGAGGAGAGAGAGAGAGAGAGAAGTGAGAAAGTGAGAGAAGAAAAGGAAGAAGAGAGAGAGGGCAGTTGAGTGCATGGTTTGGATTTAGACTTGCATTGAATCTGGCTCTATAGGTCTTGTGTGATCTTGTGCTTTGAGCCTCAGTTCCATCCCTGTAAGACAGGGATAGTAATAATACCTTTCCTCATGGGAGTGTTGGGGAATATTGAATGTCATACTGTTCATAGGTTAAGAATTTAGGCTCTGTAGTCAGCCAGCTTAGGTTCAAATCCTGACTCAACAGTTTAGGTATTAGTAATGATACTTTGTTCAAGTTACTTAATTTCTCTAAAATGGAGCTAATAATAGTACCAACCACATGTATTTATTGTAAAAAAAAAAAAAAAAGGTAAGATCCAGATTAAAATACATGGCACAGTGTCTGGCAATAGTAAGCCTTTTAGTATGAGGAAAGTCTTTATCAATAAAAGTGCACCCTCTTTCTTTGGCAAGCACTTCTCTCTTCTCCACTCCAAAGAATAATAATATTGCTTTAGGTTTTGGATGCTTGCTGGTTATTGTTACCTTAAAGTTGTTGCAATATTAGTAGATTATCCTAGCTTTATCTAGGCAAATATTCACATATTTTAATATTTATTTACCATTCTCATCTCTATGTATAGTTTTTGTTGTTGTGACCCAGGAAGCATCTAACAAAATTTGAGAATCCCTCATTAAGATTTTTTAAAAAGAATTTGGGGCAACTCTTGTCACTATACCCTTCATCAGCCTTTTTTATTTGGTCCCTGAATATCTTTCAGTGTTTATGTATTAAATTTGTATCACTTGGGAGGACTCTTAAAAAGTTATCCCTTTTCTTCTTCTCTTTTCTAAACCTAGAGGAGGAAGACGATTCCATCACTTCATCCTCTGTTTAGTTTTTATGTCAGAAGATTCTTTCTGTACTTTAATCGCTCCTGTTAAAATTGAAGTCTGTTTTCTTTTATTTTCAGTAGAGTTTATTCACCAAGTAAGGCTTTGCTTACCTTTCAGTCTTCTCTTTAAATGCCTTTAATTCTTTCATGTTTTATACTCTCCTTGTTACTTCCTTCTTTCTATTCTTTTTTCTTTTTTTATGGAATGTTAGAATTTCAGGGAAAGAACTAGAAAGAGTCATTTAAGTTCAACTATGCATCTTTTTTTTTGTTATGAATCCTCAAATGAAACACTATAATCTAGTAAGAACCTGATTGGTAGAGATTAATATAGGAAGATTATCATCCTATTGTACAGCTCATCTTCGTTGGATTGTTGTTGTTGACTTACTTTGGTTTTAAATAACTGCTCTATATTGCTCACCTCCCTTCACACTACCTCAACATAACGCCTACATCCTTTTTAAAGCTTTGGCTATTGAAGGTCACCATGACAGCCACTGTAGGTTTTTGTTTGGTTTTGTTCTCAGAACAGTTGGCTACCTAATAGTTGATTGAATTCTGCTTTATGGGTACAGATCTACCCAATGAAAACTCTTTTTTCAATAATACTTTTATCATACCCAGACTACATGTCAAAGACACCTTTCCCATAGCCTATTTTTAAGTCAATAAAGATTAATTTTAACTCAATTCTTTTGCCAAAGGTCAGTGCTTTGTAACACACAATGGCATTTTTTTAAATGGTAAGATAACAGAAACTTGTGATAAGCTGCTTGACCTGGTTATTTTAAATGAACTTTTCCATTACTAAAAAGGTTTGTTTTGTTTTGGTTAAAAAAAGTTTACAGAAATATGAAGCAAAGATTTAAAGATTAAAGAGAAGAAAATATTGAAACATCATAAAGAGAATAAAGAGGGTTTTTTTAAGTACTTCATTCTTAC